AGACGAAATCAATAGACATAAACAAATAACTTAACACAAAGAAAGAGCATGTTATAACATTAGAGTATATAAATGTCGCCATCTCATCGTTCCAAGTTCCACATTGTCATTATCATGTGTGTGATTTAACTAAGTATAAACATTGTCTGTGTGTAATGTGTGTGTGGATGTAGATGTCATACTTGTTTATGAAGATTGTATAGTTTATGTGGTTGGAAAATATGGTAGTGTATGTATTTTGTTTGTATTACACAAACGAAATACATACACTATCATATTTTGTGTTTGTGGATTGTTTTTTTTTGTATAAACAACTTTTGTTGGGTTATAAGTTGATGATTTTAGTTTTGCAGAATATTTGTTCAAATTAATTTTTATTAATGATGTTGTTTCCTGTGTATAAATTGTTTTGACACATTGTTCATTCCATTGTTCGTTCGTTCGTTCATTGTTCGTTCATTTCCTCATCCATTTGTTCTTTCATTCATTCATTTGTTCGTTCGTTAATTTACTCATTCATTCATTCGTGCGTTCGTTCGTTCGTTTGTTCATTCATTCGTTCGTTCATACATTTATTGTCATTTATCATTATTTTATGAAAATATACACATCAATAGTATTTCATTTCAACCTGAAGCATCGTTTGATATAAGGATGATACAATATATCTATGTATCTATGTATCTATATATACACATGCATGTGAGTAACTTGCTTTGATACTATCAAATTTGTGTGTAATTTATACTGATACTGCTATGTTTATGTGGCGAGCAGTTCATTTTGTATACTGCCACATTCATGTGTGTTATTCATTCTGATATCATTGTATGTGTGTGAGTTATTCTGATAGTATCATATGCTGTGTGGTTCATTTTGATACTAACATATTTACGCATGTAATTTGGTTTGATACTTGCACCATTTGCACTTTATTAATGTCCTTAAAGAGTGAATGATGATACTATATCACAACATGCGAACACGTATTTTGAATGAAGAAATATCAATCGAATGAGTTAATATTATTATATAAAATTGATATATATATCATCATATTATTGATATTTTAAATTTTAAAAATATAAAATATTTGCCAAAAAAAATATTCAAAATCAAAGAAGAAAATGAAAATGTTTCTTTCGTCCAGACTTGCACGCACGCATAAAACAATGCACTCGAGTCTGTGCTTGTATGTGTTTGTGTATGTCAGAAATCTATGTATGTGTGTGTGTATGTTTGTATGTGCATGTATTTGTATGTATGTTCATGTTTGTGGATATGTTTATGTGTGCGTGTGTGAGTTTGTGTATGTGTGGGCGTGTTTGTATGTGTGTGCGTGTGTGGTGTGTGTGTGCGTGTGTGGTGTGTGTGTGTTTATGTGCATGTGTGTGCCGAATTATTTGTGCCAATCTGTTTTAGATTAGAAACATGCCATGTTGAATTTTTATTTACTTATTTTAATTTCTTTCGTGCACTTGCTTAACATGGGGCTTCGTCATATTCTTAATTCATCCATCTATTTGATTATCCAATTATCTATCTATTTATCCATCCGTTTATCTGTCCATTTATCCATTCTTTTTTTCATCCATCCAGCCATTCATTCGTCATTCTCTCGATTCATCAATTCATCCAAACAACCAATCATCTAACCATCTAACCAACCAACCAACCAACCAACCAACCAATCAACCAACCAACCAACCAACCAACCAACCAACCAGCCAACCAACCAGCCAACCAACCAACCAACCAACCAACCAACCAGCCAACCAACCAACCAACCATTCAATCAACCATTCAACCAATCAATCAACCAATCATCCAACCATTCATCTATCCATCCATCCATCCATCCATCCATCCATCCGTTCTTCATTTCACCCGCCAATCACATCACACCCTTCTCATTTTAATAACATGCCCCAAAGCATTTTAGAATTTTATAGCGTGAAATATTTTTATTTAGATTTATTTTTTCTGAATTATTATTACAATCGGCACATGATTCAACAACTACTTTTATACTGTAACAGACAGGTAAGTATTCGAAGAATCTTATCTAACGCATCTCACTAATTACCTTATTTATCCTCCAGCAAATTTTATTATCTTATTAATGTAGGTTAAGGACAATTTAATTTTTTCGTGATTTTCATCTTTTATGAATTCATCTTTTCTGTTTTTGTTTCTGCTGTTGATATGCAATCCGTGCAATCCTTGCAATCCGTGCAATCCTTGCAATCCGTGCAATCCTTGCAATCCGTGCAATCCTTGCAATCCGTGCTATCTATGCAATCTTTGTAATTCTTGCAATCTATGCAATCCTTGCAATCTAAGCAATCCTTGCAATCCGTGCAATCTATGCAATCCTTGCAATCCGTGCAATTTATGCAATCCTTAAAATCTATGCAATCCTTGCAATCCTTGCAATCTATGCAATCTTTGCAATCCTTGCAATTTAAGCAATCCTTGTAATCTATGCAATCCTTGCAATCTATGCAATCCTTGCAATCTATGCAATCCTTGCAATCTATGCAATCCTTGCAATCCATTCAATCTTTACTTTTTTTAACTGTCATCAAGTGCTATATCAATCAACTTTTTAAACCTATCTGTAATGTTTCAGATTTTGAATTTGCTATGGAAAGGATGAATAATTTCAAATTTTTGAAGTTGAGGATTTTTTAGCTAATTCCCTTTTATTATTCAATTACATTTTACAAAAATTTTCAATTTTTCCAACTTTCATGGGTCTGCCACTGTGCCACGGGGCATCGGATTAAAGTTGATCATTGGCAAACCTGAGAACGTTTACAATTTCCTTTCTTGCATCAACTCCAGCCATAAATGCTGCTCCATTTTTTCATTGTTCTTCCCAATGTTGCTAGTAACAGGAGTTGTCCCAAAATCCCGGAATCATCTGGATCACCTGGCTAGTCTCATGTTCCTGCTTTGACCCTCTTTTTAAATTGTGCACCAGTTCTTACTGCCCTTTACGTATAAAAAAGTTTCTATCATATTTTACCAACTTTTCTTGCACGGCATACTTTCTAGAGTTGCCCACAATTTTCAGCAAGTTTGAGTCAAATATTTTTCTAATTTTTATTATATAATAATAATAACAATGGATATTATTATTAATATTAAGCTATAATAATTTCACTTAGCATTATAGCTTTCATCATTGATTCAAAAATTAGCTCAAAGTCAAAAAAATGATCTTCAAAGTGAAACAAATCCCAAAATGATTAGTAATACTTCCATTTACTTTTAATAATATATTAATCTTACATATCAATACTTTTAACAATTATTACTGCTTATTTATTTATTTTTCGCCAAGAAACAAAATAAATAATGTCAAATAATGAAGAGGTAGATAGTAAAACTCCCGCTAAAGAGCTGCTTGCAAGCCGTCTTACGCAACCGGGCTGACGACCGCTGAAAGTGAAATATAAAACGGAGACATCTTCCAAATCCCTGATGTCACGTGTAATTATATGCATCCATGTGTGCTTGTTCGTCTGGTATCAAGTTTTTTGTTTATGTATGTTTGTGTGTGTGTGTGCGTGCGTGTGTGTGTGTGTGTGTGTGTATCTATATGTGTTTATCTATGTGTGATGCATCTGCCTATCTGCCTGGCTTCATGTTTTTTTGTGGAGTGAATAAAAGATTGTATTGTATTGTGTGGTGCATTAATATTTTATGTATGCCCGTGTTGGTATGAGTTCGTACGCGCATGTTTGTGTGAATACAAAATATGTGTATGTTGTGTGTATGTATGTGTATGTATCTATGTTTATGTGAATGCAAAATACAATGTATGCATTTTTGTATGTGTATTGTATACATAAACGTACATTCTTATTTCAATGTTAGTTGTGGTAATAAAACCATTTGGCTTAGATGGAATGGAGACATCAGAGTGAAATTCTTGCCTAGCGGTTGAGACTGTTGATGTACATTATTTTTGTTATTTTTTAATATTGTCATTTGTATTATTTTTTTGTGGTTATCATTATTATCATTATCTATTTGATACTTATATTATGATGATAAAACAGATGATGATGATGTCAGGTATGATGGTGATAATGATGATGAGGATGACGACGATAATGATAATGATGATAATTATGGTGGTGGTGGTGATGATGGTGATAGAAAATGACGATAATGATGATAACGATGATGATGATGACGATGATAATAACAGACAATGATGATGATGATGACTACGACGATGTAATACTGATGATGATGACGGAATGGTGATGATTTGTGTAACCTAGCTAGAGGTGTTCTCCATAAATCTAGCAATCAGTTTTCATATCCGACCTATCAGCCGCCTTCTTAAAATTAAAATTCTTACAGGCTCATAACTTTAAAATTATACAGAAATATTTATTTCTTTTATTTTGGCCGTAAAAAAATTAATTCAATTTGTTATTTTTTAATTTAATAACTTATTAAATTATTTATATTTTAAAATTAATTTTATTTTTATTACTCCAGTTAGTTCCTACAAAGAAATGTGTTTTGGGCAGTAGATAAAGATCCTGGTCACATGATCGGAACTGAAGACACTGAGCAGAATTCATTTTTCATTTTTCGCAAACATTTTTCAAATGAATTACTTGGACTGAGACCATCCAACACATTTAAATTCTACTATCGAAATTCTGAAAATAATTCTTTTTCAGACTGTGAGCCAACGATGGTCTAACCGAACACGACTGGACTGATGAAACTTCGATCCACCCGAGACCATCGTGGTCGCGCCATTCTTGATTGTCTATAAACGAGACATCACTCTGTTTAAATCTCCGTTGAAAGCATTGTTTCAGCAACCCAGTTTTAAATGGATGAAAGCGTGAATTGAACATTTTGATGTATCATTTTTGTCCGGTGAATTTTCAACTTGTTTCAGCTTATGGAAACGATACGAACATTCTGTTTAACTTTTTTGATATTGTATCAAGTAATAATTATTGTTGTCATTGATAAGCGTGTTGTTGTTGTTGCCCTGCGTCAGACATCATTGGAGGGATCCAGACGAGGCCGTAGCCAGTTAGCCACGGCCACCGGGTTACGCCAGAGATCTATTATCGTGAAATGAGTTGGGTTCTTTGGGCAGCTAAACAGATGGGGAATTTTTTGTTGTTGTTGTTGTTGGTGGTGGTGTTGTTGTTGTTGTTGATGATGTTGTTGCTGTTGGTGGTGATGTTAGTACCATTGATATATCCAAACTTATGATAAAAATGAACGAATAAATAAATAATTCTTTTTTGTTTTTAAAAATTTTAAAGTTAAAAAAACGACACGACGGTGCGTTCCTGTTTATTTACAGTGCAAACATTCCTTCGCAGTTTTATTTATTTGTTTAAAAGTTTAACGAAAATAAGCAGGAATTATTATTATTAAACAACATGTGCTTAAACTTTTCACGTCTCTAAGCCAGTAGCAGGCGGCCGTGTAAGTGTGATGAATGAACGTCTGAAGGTTTCATAGAATTTATACTATAGTATTTGTAGTTTTAGCTGATTATTTTACTATTACCACTACGTTTTTAACTATTTGGTTATTGTTGCGGCATTTATGTATTGTATATTGTAGATACTACTAAACTCTATTGTATACTGCTACTACTGCTACTACTGCTAATACTACTAATACTAATACTACTACTATTACTAATTGAATTGTATTGTACGATACAACAATTATGTAATACAAACCACTACAATAATTGTAGTAGTAATAGTAATAATGACAATAAAAGTAATAACTAATAATAATAACTACTGCTGCAACTGCTAATACTACCACGGCTTACTTCTACAACTTGTACCTATACTTTTCAAAAAAACCTTATTTACAACTACCACTACAATTTTTTGTGCTGCTACTACTGCTGTGGCTCTGCTGCTACTACTTTTACTACTACTACTTCTACTACTTTTACTACTACTGCTGCTGCTACTACTACTACTACTGCTGCTGCTGCTGCTACTACTACTACTACTACTACAACTACTAATACTACTACTATTACTACTGCTGCTACCACTACAACCACTAATACAACCACTACAATAATTGTAGTAGTAATAGTAATAATGATAATAATAATAACAACTAAATAATAATAATAATGTGAGTGATAATAATGTAAAAACAGAACGAACAGGAAAAGACATTTAGAAGCAATAATAATAAAATAGTTAATAAATAGTTATAATAATAAAACTCGAACTTAAGTGAGAGTAAGTAGGTGACGTTTTATTGTTGTCTTGTATGTTGTTGTGTTTGTTATTGTGGTGTGTTTTGTAGTGTTTGTTTTGTTGTGTGTATGTTGTAGTGTGTTTGTGTGTATGTGTTTGTTACTGTGTGTGTTGTTTGTCGTTGTGTGTGTGATTTGTGTGTGTTGTGGTGTCTGTTGTTGTGTATATGTTGTGGTGTCTGTTGTTGTGTATGTGTTTGTTGTTGTGTGTTTTGTGGTGTGTTTTGTGGTCTGTGAGTTGAGGTCTGTGAGTTGTGATGTGTGTCATTGTAGATTTTGTTGTGTGTGCTGGTGTGTGTGTATGTTGTCATGTCAGTTGTTGTCAAATTCAGTCCACTGCCAAGGCGTTCAAATTTTTGTATTCAACTTCTCCATGCTGGCTTTATATTAATAACTCATTTCATCTTTTTGATTAATAAGCAACTTTTTTGCTGTAGTCAGAAATAATAATGCAACAACAACAACAACAACAACAACAACAATAATAATAATAATAATAATAATAGCATAAAAACAAATAATTATACATTGGTGATAGTAATAGTTATAGCGAGATTTAAACAACGAATTAGGCTGTTTGTTAAATTACAAATGTGTGTGCGTGTGTGCGTGCGTGTGTGCGCGTGCGTGTGCGCGTGCGTGTGTGTGTGTTTGCGTGTATGTAACTGTGGCCATGAACATTTCAAAGAAATCACGTAAAAACTAAAAGAGGATCATTAATTACTAAGAGACAACATCCGCTTTTCAAATCAGCGAAACATAAATATTTAAAATTATTAGTTCTTCAGACAAAAAACTCTCTAAACCTTACACGCATTCTCCTTCTCTTTTTCATATATTATCTCTCTTTGATCTCTCTCTCTTTCTTTCTTTCTCTTTCTCTCTCTTTCTATCATTTTTCCCAATATCTCTATCACACTATTTTTCTCTTTCTCTCTCACTTTCTCTATCAATGAGCGTATTTTTCATCATATTTTTACATATATGTCATAAACAATAATTTCTTTCTTCTCTTTCTTTCATTCTTTCTCTCCCTCTCCCTCTCCCTCTCTTTCTTTTTTTCTCTCCCTCTCTATCCTTTTTTCTCTCTTTCTCTTTCTCTCTCTCTTTCTATAAATATATATATTTATATATATATTTGTGTGTGTGTGTAAATGTAGATGTATTTTATATGTCATAAACAACTTGAAAAATTATTTATTACATATTTTTGTTTATCCTCTCACGAAGTCGATATATTTATAAGCTGAACTATAGCCACAGCGCCTG